AGGTTTCCTCGTCGGGAAGCCGCAGAGGAAGCGCTGAGGGCTTCGTTTTTCTCTGGCGACGCATGTACCAGAAAAGAAAATTTTTATTCTCCCGAGCCACCAGTAGGATTTTCTTCTGTGCCTTTGTGGTATGTTGGCGGATTTCCCGCCTGCATCTTTTCCGTATAGAGTGGAAGGCCTCTATATCTTCCGGCTTGCCCGTTAGTTTTTGTTTAGAAAAGCCGACGTCTGTTCCGCGGAAGCGGTGAGCGAGATGAGGACTTCCACAGTTTATGAGGAAAAAATGCCTCATCAGCTTCGGTGAATAGCATCTATAAATAAAAGCAAGTTGGCGTTCACTGAATCAGACACGAGTCTGAGTGTACTTAAGAATGTCTTTAGTGCGCCAAAGTCAGCTTTCTGGAAATTTCTGAATGAAATCGTTGTTATGGCATTTTGGAGCCGGTAACAGATAAAATCGAAAGCAAGTAACATGTGGTCACTATGTCCCAGCGGTGGGTTGATGACCGCTCTGTCTACCATATGAGCTTCATTTGCGATGACCAGATCAATCAATATGGGTATCTGTTCTGGACGGTGCCTTGTAGGTGGTTCGACATATTATGTCCAGGCTTTCTCATGAATCAACATTGCCAGGGATTTCGAAAATCCGTAGTCAGAGTCCTCATGAGAAGCAGCTATACAGTTGAGTTTGGGTGCGTTGAAGTCACCCATAATGAGAACATGGGAGAAACGTTGTGTGAACGTAAAATGGTCTAGGGCGGCAAGAATGGCCTCATTGTCAGATGTGCCGCACGACGGCAACCGGTATATAACACCGACAAGGAGCATGCCACTACTATGAAGCCGGAGTTTAAACCACAGACCGTCACATTTCTCTGGGGAGGTAAATTCCTTTATGACGGTTGGTACTGGCAGCTTCTGGCTTAGAGAAACTGCACAGCCTCTCATGCGTCCACGGGAGGACTCTGTTTGGTACAGTGAGGAACATGCAGTTCGTTACCGACGATATCTGCGGAAAGCCAGGTTTCTATTAAAGCAAGAATATGCGGACAAGTTTCGTGCACCAACTGTCTGATTTCAAATAGTTTGTTTAAAAACCTCATATAGTTAGTGTACACGCACTTGATGGCTGTCTTCTCATTTGGCTGGGTGCAAAATGTTACTGAATAACGCGAGAAAGAGCTTGAGAAAGCAGTCCTAGTAGTGAGGAGGAGTGTATAGACGGTGTCAGTGTTTCCTGAGCCCTCTTGGAGGGTTGCAGCCGTTTCATCACCGCTTGAGCATATGTGAGCGTTCCTGTGGGAAGCTTCTTCCGCTTCGGATCGCTCAGGTTTGATGGCTTGTGATCCGCCTTAACTTTTTGAAGTACTAGAGGGTGGTTTGCAGCTTTCCACCCCCGAAAATTTGAGTGCGGTTTTTGGTTAGAAGAGAACCTAGGAAGAAATGACCGTGACCCGGCAGAGGGAAATGCGGCCAAGTATGGGCCTATCTAGAAGCTGGAGGTGACCCAAGAAGACTCATTGAGTTTTAAAGCTTAGGAATGAAGTAAGTTTGGGTCGAACCTTTTGGAAGTCCCGTGGGTGGGGGTTTAGAGCAAGACTGTTGTTCTGTGGCCTCTTTGGGAGCTACTGTTTCCGACCCGTTCAGCCCCAGAGATGATTGGCCATCCAATGGGCTGGAGGTACACGTCTTTGGTGTGGGTGTGAGAATATGGGTGGATGCATTCGGAGGCGCTGGCCCCTTCTTAAGATTGGGAATAAGGACCTTCACGTTGGCTTAAAGTTTGGGGTCAAGCTGGGAGCACTTCTGCCGCTCCTGCAATGAACGATCCAGTGAAACTCCGTTTAAATTTGTGTGACTTTTCTTTAACTGAACTGTCTCGTCCAGTACTTTCCCTTGAACAACAGTGAACTGCCTACTTTTTGTGCTGAGTACATGTCTCGTTTGCTTACCTACCTTACACTCTTGCACAAACCTGCTTATTGCACATGTGCTCAGTTTGTGAATGATTTTTGATAATAAGTGAAAGGTCCCCGCATGAAATGTACGCCAGCGTGGACTTCAACGATCAGGTCCAGAGTCGGCGTGTTTACCGGGAAATGTTTGACGGGGCACCACCTAGTAATGGGGGACAAGTAAACGAACTTGGGCTCACTTAAACAAATGAGCATCGATTAGATCGAAACAAAACGACTGCTGGAGGATTACAGAGTGATGGGTTTTGCAAGTTACTCAAAAAAAAATATACATGGGACAGGGCTAACTTCAAAATTTAGAAGTTCACAGGGTGCAAATTGCATAACAGTAAAAAAATTGTGGCAGTCGTTGGAGTAAGAATAAAAATAAATAATGCGCGTTATCTGGCCCAGTAAACACGCCGACTCTGGCACGAGTTGGCAAAGAGTCGGATCCCAGTGGGCGTGCAACAAAATCCAGAGCCGGTCCGACTCTGGCCAGAGTCGGATCGGAGTGGGCCAGAGTGGGATTCTAGTAGGCCAGTGTAGGATTCGAGTAGGACAACTGCGCTAACGGAACCTTCCTTACATTCCTAGTTATTCGCTTCAACAACTGAAGTAGTTCGAAACTTATGTAATCCAACGCCTTTGACCTACTGACACTACTCCGTAAGTTTCACCGAATTATTTTCTTAGCGGTCGATCTTACCTGGCAGCAACGTGTCGAGCCAACCCAACAGGATCATTTTCGTAATGAAGTGTTCACTACGAATGCCTTCAAATGATCTAACGCGGACCGATATGGAGATGGACAATGGTCGCATCCAATAACTCTCCGAATTGCTCCTACGACGAACATACTATCGTAAACATCTTCTACGTGACCGCTGAACGCGCAGAAATTAACAGCAAAACGAAACTTACCGCAATAAAAAAGGACGTATATTTCATTAAAAAAAGATAGAGTCCAAGAATTAAAAGCGAGTAGAAACAATTCCCGTTGAAGTTGAAGACATCCCAAAATCCAGCATGCTGTACGCGAAATACGAATGGAACAACACTTGAAGAAAAATAACAACAAAAAAGAGGGAATAACAGGGTATGAAAATAAGAACAATGGAGAAAAACAGTTAATACTGAAATTTAACCCAAAATGTTTCCCGATGGGAAATGAACCTAGAAGTGAACACACTACACGAATCAACAGGACTTGCAAAGGACATGGATTCACTACATCAAAAATCAAGTTTATCTGAAACACGCATTGTAGACCTATACGTGGCACCTGAAGTTGAATTATGATTCAGATTAATATCCACTTCACGTCAATGATTCGTGTTAAAAGTTGTCAACATGTGAAGTCATAACACAAATCAACAGGGCTTGTAACAGACATGGCTTCACTGCATCTTGGAGTGTTGCGCAAAGTTCTAGGATCTAAAGGCATTTCAGGAACGAGCGGCTTCAATAACGTGATAAGCAGCTTCAGGTCAGCGGCCGTGAGGGACTCCGCGTGAATGAAGAATAGTGTCACTGCGTCAGGACTAGATGAAGCTGTTACCGTAGTATCCACTCTAACAATTGAATATGTTGTCCGCAGAACTCACATGAACCGTACGGATTGCGTATCGCATCAACAGATGGGGCTGGATACATGTCCCTCACTACCTGGCCATCCTCGTCATCTTCAATTTAAAATAAACAACAAAATAAGGGACTACTAAGTTTCTTTGATGGAATAGTTTCATTCTCGAAGGTGACAGGGATAGTAATGTAGGAAACGCCGACAAAACTGATGCCAAGTCGTAGACGTTCCCACCGTATTCTACGATATATAGTGATACGACAATACAGCCTTCGCCCGGAACTCATGGTGCATCAAAAGTTTATTAACCAGATGGTTTCATGGAGTAAGAAGATCTAAAAATCAAACATCTAGGTGAAAATTAGTCTTCAGGTCATGTTGTGGCAAGTCTTCACTGAACAATAAAAGTAGGTTATATCACACAAACATTCAGAGTGACATGACATATTGTCGTCCAAGATTATCCATAAAGCATCACAAAAAACAACAGTGTGAAAACCGACCAAACCAGAGGCACGCGACAAGCAAATGACCCAGAGCTATCGAACTAGCCTGGATGAACAAAATTTACCCTCAAATGGCAATCACCTATTCCATAGTCAAATATCTATCTATTGCAGTGAAAAATGCCATTCTTAGATTATTCGTAATCGTTATTCAACCACAAAAGAAGTCCCATGATAACGTGCCATTCACCAAAGTTTCTAATTTTTAGTTGGTCAGTGGAGTAGAAAAGACGGGCCAACGCCTGGCCTACTGCTGGCCAACCTGGCCGAGTCGGCCACGTGTTTACTGGAGGGGAAGATGGCTGAGCCTAGGACTGACTTTTAACGATAACGCGATAGCGTGACAATCTCAAAAATAGCCAAACGAACCTCAACAAAATCAAAATTCTCGTTTTAAATTACCATCATTTATAAATGGAATAACTGAATGGCAACATACTTTGTGCTCATGACATTTTCGGCGGTATGTGGAAGAAGTCACAGGCACCGAGCTGGCATTAATCCTGTCTCATGCAGGTGGAAGGGACAGGATGACACTTGATGAGTGCATCTCGCGGTATGCCACCGATGGTGAGCATAATATTTTCAACTGTCATGGTGGAATGCTGAGGTTATAGCGTGCTTTTGTTCGCCACTGCACGCAGCAATCGAGGGAGTATATTCAGCCGCCTGGAGAAAACTGTGGTCCTATAGTAGTCACGACAGAAGATATATGCAAGGAATATAAAAAATGAATACAGGCGATATACATCACTCAATGAGGTCATACACAATATGAGCCATATTGAACAATGTTATCATGCGCCATGCTTGCAACTTCTGAGGCAAAATATGTGTCCAGTGGTATACAATTCTAAGGGGCACCCTCCCGTTTTGCTTTCATGTGATGGGTCTTGAATGCTTACCAACATACTCTTAACATTTTAGAAGATACCCAATCGTAAAAAGTGAGGGTTTCGGCTGGGTTCTATCCAGCGACACAAACACCATACCTGAACGCAGCAAGCGCTCTACCAGCTGAGCTACGAAGCCAAGCCTAGCGCAGGGATATTTCATATTTGTACTAGGTTACACACCCGTCCCATTGTCTCATATGGAATCCGCCAAATGATCCAGGTGATCGACTGCCCCGTTAGGAGTTCTCGAACAGTTCACGTTGGAATCCACCAACGCCATTGTTAAGCATATTACTAATACTTTCGATCGGTCCATTCTTATTGAACCATTCTTCTGCATAATGTTTATATCTTTCAGAGCAAGAGGAGTGGCCTGAGTTGGATAGTTATGAAGACGAACGATCCATTAATTTCTGTCGTTTGTTGGTTCTTATTTTACCATAGTTTACCATTCCACGTTTGTCAGTGGTGTTTTCTTGAGCACAAAGTCATTATTTTGAGCTTTTTTCAAAGTACAGTCATCCTCATGTATTGTTTTATTATCTCAAGCATAATTGAGTTTGTAGTTCAAAATGTAGTCACTGAATAGCTCACTATAGGTACGTGGAACAGGAACACCAAGAAGAATAAACGAGCGTATCAAAAGTGTATTGCTAAGTCGAATCACTTCAGACAGGTGATGTTCATTTTGTACAAGGATAAGTGGTGTAGACTGTAGATAAAAATAAAGCGAACTATAGAACAATGTGCAATACCCCATAGGCTTCAGAACGCCTATGTCGTTCCTGTTCCACTAATATTTTTAGAAACATTTTCCGTTCTTACTCCTACACATTGAAGTATTTCTGCTTCCTGTTCACATTTCGAACATATCGTGTTTTTATCACAGTTATCGTGGTCGTTAATTTATGTAGCAAGTTGTGCCGAGCTTATTTGTCCTAAAGGTTACGTGGACTTCTCTGTTTTATCAATGACTGTGAGGACTTTTATATTGATAACACGTAGGTACACTTGACTTTTTAACGTCGGATTAGGCAGGAGCGCGGTGGCCTGGTTATATAGCAGCGTGTGGATTAACTTTACTTCGGCATCGAGTTTTATGGTTGGAGCTAATCATTTTATTTCGTTTGGGGTATGTCTGAAGTGAGGCTATCCTGATGTGCGTTGGGTTAGTTTACGATGACATAAAGCCATTGTTTTTGTCGACAGGTTGTTTCACTATGCATGAAGATTTCATTCAACGGAACGGGCGAGTGGGACGACTTTTGCGCTATGTTTCTGCGACAATTTTGGGTTGTGAGTGCCAAAAACGTAATTTTGCTCCAGGATTGGTCATTGAAGAACACATTAGATTTTCTGCAACTTATACTTATTTATGTCAGAAAAACGGGACCTCAGTATTTATTCTCCATTGTTTTTCTACTTTGCAACAGCTCGAATCAGAACCAGTAGAGCTGAAATTCGGCAGAAGTTCACTGGGGCGACGAGCACTTGTGGTCATTAGAAGTACAACATATCCATACAAAACGGTATGCATTACCGTTTTGGTGAGTACTTGCAATCTATTTACAATTCACAGATACACGCAGTAGAAACCAGACGCGAATAATTAGAAAACCCTACATATATTACAGCGGACCTCACGATACACCATAGAACACAGATAAACACTAACAACTATAGAGGCTAGGGATGGGGCCGTCAAGCGCGTGAGAATGCTGGAAGTATATATTACACCAGTGGTTTGTATAACCCAGAAACATGCAGAAAACAAGGCCGATCGCGTACATTAGCGGACGGCGATCAAACCTCTCTACGATCCTACATGCATTATTGAAGCGTTCCCTAACGATTCAAGTTCACAACCATTTGCGCGTAATCTGTTGATCTAAATATGCCTATCTCAATATCCAACGGCATGGAAGATAATCTATCTTCGAAACGGTTAATGAGAAGGCGCTCGTAAAAACTGGATTTAATACGGTACTAGTTGAATCAATATACATGAAAACTAAATATCTCACTTTGAATGCGAAATATCCTCCGAATTATAAGCTACTCAAGAAAGAATATAGAAGAAGAATGTCATATTTTGACACTTAAAAATGCACAAGGCTCTGGCTGAAACGGTTACAGTAGCTGGTGTAAGAAGGAAAACGGTCAATACTGTTTATTCTTAGGGAAAATTAAGGAAAGATATTGCCACCCTTCAACACTGATCAAGCAAAGCACAGCAATCTCAAAATAATGCAACAGACCTTAACAAAGTCAACACTGGGCCCCGAAAACCAGCTGGTTT